ATCCCACGTCCCTGGCTGCTGCCCATCAGACGGCGACAGCACTCAAGTTGACAATGAGGGTAGCTTCCTTTCCGCCTGGGGCGGTATCTCATCAGTTGGCCTCGGCCTTCCCATCCTGTGGACGGAGCTTAGCCGTCGCAAGGCCCTGAAGGCAGCAGACGAAACTACGACCCAACAGGCTCTGCAGGACGTTGTACGACTCTGCTGCACGAACACTGCCGTCCAGGTTGGCCTACAGCACCAGAAGGGTGACCTCGTCCCCGGCCACGACGCCGACATCTGTGTCTTCGACGACACCGCAGAATGGGTCGTCGAGCCCAGCACCATGCTCTTCCGCAACAAGTGCTCACCCTACCAGGGCCGCAAGCTTCGTGGACTGGTCCGCGAGACCTGGCTGCGTGGCGAGAAGATCTTCAGCCGCGACGATGGCTTCAGCACCAAGACCCCCTCCGGAGGCTTGCTTCTGGAGAAGCGTGCTTGTTAAGACCTCTCACTACTCCCACCTGTCCCGAGTCACTCATCATCACCCTTTAGGACTGTTGACAGCCCATTAAGCGGATGACACGACACCTTCATCATCTCTTTCTGCCCAAGCATCCTCATCATCTCATATTCACGACCTGACATGATACCCGCAACCTGATGATTTACTACTAATGAGCATTCGCAGCATATACATCAGCGCATAGACTAGTATCCCATAAGCGACGGTGTAGACAGACAGCACCTCGATAGACACGAATACATCATCTTACTGAATATTTCTCTTTCCAAACTATATCTGCAGTACAGTAGTATAGCATAGCATCGTGCGAAGTAGTAGTAATGAGTAATAAGTAGCATGTGAACAACAAAATGAATGATCAACAACTTCCCTCGCCACTCGCCTCCAGATCGATGAAGAAGAAATCTTCCAAAACCATCACGATGGATAACTTTGTAAATAAGTTAGTTAGTCAGTATTGCCCCAGAGGTAACGAAATCATGACAGATAGAACTTAGTGTAAATGGTTAGACACCTGATGATCCTTTCGCCTTCACCGCCACCACCCACTACCCGACGAACCCCGCGTCCAACATCCATCCCTTCTTCCTTCCTACTAACGTTACTAGTAGTACTTACTTGCCTGCCCCGCACGTGCACGCGCCCTTTTCTCGGACCTCGGAGTTATTCTCACGGACCAGGATTATTCCACTGCAACTTAGTTATGATTATCAACATCTACTAGTTAACTAATCATTTAATTACTTAGTTAGTTGATTAGTTACTTGGGGAGTTTTCTTCCCGGTGAAACTTCAACTCCTCTTCTTTTTTTTTTTTCTTTTATGACTGCGGTTGTTCATCTCAGGATAATAACAATTAGTACCCTTTCAGCTGGGTTTATTGGGAGTGGGTGCGAATACTGATAAAACTATTCCCGTCCCGAATTATTCTAAGGGATAAAGGGAGTTAGATGAAAAATGAAAGGAACTCAGTTCATTATTGATTTGGCATCGCCTAGGTCCGAGGGATAGAATAAAGGGCCAAAGCAGGGGGGATTTGAATCATGTTGGAAACAGGCGGTGAAAAAAAACAGACATGATGACAAGAAAGACAAGAACAGAACATGCTTTCGCAAAACGCCGAATAATAAGGCCTACGCCATGCTACGGAAATCCCGCTCAAAGAAGAAGCCGACAGAGAGTTAACTAACATGGACATGAAAAGAGATTTTGTTGGTTTGTGCTGATGATTGATGGGTTCATAGGTTGCAAGAGGTGGTGGTTCTCGTCCATCCTCGGCTGAAAGCCAAGAAGACTATTTCGTCTTCTTCACCTCCTCTACCGCGATGTCCCCGCTGTGAGCGCTGGTGGAACCGTCAAGCGAAACCACATCTTCGTCGGGGTCGATTTCGTTCCGGACACGTTGACGACCGCGCTCTTGCATCGAGACATGAATCCGGCGGTTGACTTCTCCAAGATCGTCCTTGGATTTGATGGAGAGGGGCTTGAGGAGTGTGTCGTACAGGAATCCCGCGCTTCGGGATCGGCTCCGGCTGGTTCGGTCTTTGCTGCGGTTGCGACTTTCGGGCTCGCTGGGGGGCATGCTCTTGAGACGGGATTGGTAGGTGTCGTCCTCCGGGTGTTCGTGTGAGATAAGCTTCTCCGATTCGAAGTCAGGGAAGATCTCGGGGGCGAAGGTGTCGATTACGTCGACTACTCGTGCGGAAAGGGCCTGGCGTTCAGCGCGGAGTTTGGCGAGCGAATTGGCGGATCTTGGGTCGAGGGCCCGCAGAAGAGGAGGTAGGGATTTCAGAACGTCGATACCTATTTCACCGATACGGAGACCCGCGAATGAGACAGAGATCATGAGGCCAAAGAAGAAGATCGAGAAAAGCGCAAGGGGGATCGAGTCGGAGATGTAAGTCCTGGCGTTCAGCCACCACGGCGCTACAGACGCGTAGTATCCGTCATGGCGGCAGTAATGGAGCCAGATCGTCACAATTACGGTATACCAGGTATAGAGGGCTGGTGCCAATCCCATGGCGACCAGGATCTTCCACGTTCCAACGACGTCGCGACCCTCGAGCTTGACCACGGAACCGGCAAGGGCCTTGCGCTGCTTCTTGACCGAAACAACCTTGGCCGTCACGAAGACAGGCCAGAAAAGTGCCACCGATGGCAAGGTTCCGATCGCAAGCGTAAGCAACTCTCCCACGCGGTATAACAAGGTACCAAAGACAAGCCACCACGGCCGATGCGTCACGTCACCCCATTCAACCTGGTGATCCCGAATTCCGAGGGCCCGGAGACGGCGGTTATAGTCGGAGATGGCCTTCTTCAACTGGAGCACCTTGGGTTCATCTTTGAATTGGGTGTAGCCTTTGAGAAGTCGGCGGTTCAGTTCGATCACAACGGGCAGAGGGAGCTTCATTCGCAAGGGCTTATACAGTCGTCGGGTGGCTTGGATGACCATCAGGGTCTCGTGGTCGGGCGCTTGCTGGGTTACTGCAGTGAGTGCTTCCGTGATTGTCTCCAACAGAGATCCCACAGCATTCCGCTTCGAATTTCCACCAGCCTTGAAGGCTTCAATTTGATCCGGGTGAACTTGCACAGGGTTACCGAACTCAACGACGGCACGAGAACGGAACTTGTTCGGATGGAAGTAGTTCATGCCGCATGGGATAATGGAGAGACCGCAGTTGGGATCCTGCGCGAGCGTTCCGAGGGCGATAATGGCGACACCGGCTTTTAAGGGCAACAGACTGGGACGATCATGACTTCCGCCTTCCGGGAAGATACCGATACAACCACCTGCGACGAGCTCGGAATACACGGAGGCGAACATCTTGCTCTGGTCAATGTGAGGAGCAGCCTTAAATGGGGTACCCTTGCGCAATGGCTCGTAAAGGGGATGATCCTTCTCGAACTTCTTAAATGGCTTCCGCAGACGAATTTCCTCGGGTCCTAAGATCTCCTCAATCGCCTGTTGTTCCGGACTCGTTTTGCCCACACGCGGGAGAATGATGGCGCCGCCCACCATAAACTGATCGGAAGTGAAGTCGGTTCCCCTGCCACGGACCAGGGTCGGATCGTTGTCAGGATCGGGGAGGTAAATTTCACCCTTGGCGGGTTTGACATGGTCCATCGATCGCACGACGGGGAGAGCGCCCATGCACCCGGCCATGGTGCCGATGTACGGCTCGCGCATGGACTTCTCTGCGATCAAAAACGAGGTTCTGCGACCGGCATAGTGTTTCAAGATGCGCATCAACAGAATAGAATCTACAAACTGATTTGCATGAGGGGCGGCGACGATGATGACAGGGCCGCGTTTGGGAATCCGCCATGCGCCGCGCGAGTAGACCTCGCGGAAGAAGATGTCCAGACAGAGAGTAAAAATCCACACTCCGAGGTCGTACAACCACGGGATCATAAATCTGCGCGCCATGACTTGCGTCTGTAATTTGACACTAATGCTAGATAGTGGTGCACAACAGGGAATCAAGAGCAGTATAGAAGAATAAAATCGAAAGGGGAGAGGATTAGATGAGATGATATGTGTTGATCTCAACTCATGACCGCGGGAAATTTAATTGCCAGTGACGTTGAGGCAACAGGCGGAGTTTCTTAAGGCGGACAGCAGAAACAACGGCAGCAGCAAAGCGCGTTAAAAAGGGAACAAAAAAAGCCGGGGAAGAGGCAGAGCAATAAGAACCGTCTGTTTGTTCTTTCGCAGGGGTTCTCCGCCTGAGGGAGGTTGATTTCCCTTGATCCGTGGCTCAAAGGAGGAGGTGTTACCGCAGCTTGCCAGATAATTATGTCGCAATACTCCAGCTTCACCGGCAAAGAAGCTTCGCGAAAAAGAAGAAAATGTTTTAAAAGGAAAACCAGTGAGCGAAGAATGATGATGTTCGGTGTTCCACCCAGACTAGACTAGGCCTATGCCGGAGAAACCAAAACGGGTCTGAGCTAAACAATTTGGGAGAGTTACTCCGGTGCAGTATCGCCGGAGTAGGAGAGGTCTATTGCCAACTGTTGGGATCTCAACAGAACAGTTGGGAATAAATCGATAGGGTGCAGCTGGTTCGATAGGTAACTGACAAGTAGACCAGGATGATGTGCGAGAGTTCCAGAGCTTCGGCAAGTGAAATGCCAATCATAGCATCGGGCTTGCTGGTCGATGAATCATGGTGCGCGCGGGGTTCTCGGATGGGCGCGTGGCGGTCACGTGCCACTCTCGCCGTTGCGGGTAACCGGACTTGGACTAGCGTGTCGTTGGCCCATGTGGTTACGGTATGGTACTCTGTTGCGGTAAGTTACCCCGCAGAGTTGGTAGTTTGGATGTTATCAGTTGAAATGAAGTTGGGAGCTCATCAGTTCAACTTATAAGGCTCCTTGTGGAACGGGTCCAATCATGAAAGTCACTGAAATCACTGTTTGACGACGGCATAAGAAAGTGCTCGTGGGAGTACGGGGGAAGTACTGGTCCTTACGCTGACTATACTGGATGCCGCCATGAACAGCTTCAGTCTCGTCGCATGGCTAGTGGATTGCCCACAGCAAACAGCTCCAGATCCGATCGGAACCTGGGGAATGGCTAGGTATCGGTCGCCATGACCAAACACAGCGACTCCATTTGTCAGAAGTCAGACTGATTCTTCCATCCGATGGTAGAGAAGCGGGTGGTGGGGACTCTCAAGTGGGGAAGAATGGGGGGTTACTTGGCGGACTTGAAATGAAATGCAGCCGATAATGTTGTCAACAAGGCGAAGTTGAAATCCAAAGCATATCAAAATGAGAAGGATGGAAGCATGAGAGATGGAAGAGTAAGAGACGCATCCCCGCATAGAGGGCCGGATTCTCCGCAATTTTCCCACTCTGATTGGAGTGGGGGATGCAAGGCGCGCGAGTCAGCCGCGAAGGACAACAAACAGGTCGATCTCACGTAGTAATAACTATAGCCTTTCCCACTTGCACAGTCTCGCGACGAACTAGTATAAAAAGGTGCGGCTGATTAGAATAGACGGACACCCAGTATTAGACCCATAGACAGACAGACATCTTGCAAGTGCAACAAACAGCATGTCGCCCATCAAGGAGGAAATCCACTGCGACGACGATGTGCCCATTCTGATCGTTGGGGCCGGCCCATGTGGCTTACTCCTTGCGTATTTGCTTGCCCAACTTGGAGGTATGGGACCATTACTCGACAATATAGGAAACTGATCACGGGAGAAGAGAGTCCCGTTCTGGATAGAATCGCTGACTGTCTTATACTTGTCTTCTAGTCCGATCTCTGCTATGTGAACGTTACCCCACCAGACTGCAAGCGCCAAAAGCACATGCACTATCGCCCAGGACACTTGAACTATGTCGGCAATACGGCCTGGATGTGAACGAGATTCGCAGCATTGGTACCAAACGCGGAGAGGCGTTCTGGGTCAATTTCATTACAAGTTTGAGTGGTAGGCAGGTCGGAAGGCTTCCGTATGAGCGCATGGATCCCGCAGTTCTCGAAAGCACACCCACGGTATGACAACTATACGAAGACCTCAAAGCCCGAAATACATGCTCATGTTAAGAGATAGATGATTCATAACATCCCACAGCCAGAATTTGAGGAGCTGGTGGCTAAGCGGTTATCCAAGAACAATCTGGTGGAGATACGCAAGAATCATTCCTTTGTTAGACTAACTGATGTAAGTTTCATGGTGGATCGTAAAACCAATCTAGAGCTGTTACTGATAGGATAAAGCGCGGTGACTATGTCTTAGCCACCATCGAAGATCGCGCAACCCAACAAGAATATACTGTGAAGTGCAGCCATCTTGTGGCATGCGACGGAGCAAAGAGTGCGGTCCGGAGATGTCTGGGAATAGAGAGCGAGGGCGAGGACTCTTGTATGTGGTACAGCTGACCCAGTCAATACTTTGAGGCTGACCACTACTTAGATGAGACCATGATGACTATCCACATCAATGCTGACCTGCACCCTGTGGTCAAAGAGCGAGTCGGCATGTTACACTGGGTGATGGACCCAGAAGTATCCGGTTTCATTATTGGGTACGACCTGGGAGGGAACCAAGTCTTGATCTGTAATTTCGATGTGAGTCTCCTTGATTGCTTGTTTAATTCGAGAAACAGCCACAAACTAACTCCGTGTAGGCTGAAAAGCACCCAGTCAACTCATGGGACGAAGCGTTTTGTCGCAAAGTCGTTGACGCAGCTATTGGTGCAAAGATCCCATACGATGTATTGAGTTATCGACCATGGATATTGAGTAGGAAGGTCGCCCTTGCATACCGAGCAAACCGTGTATTGCTGTCAGTAGTATCGCATCCCAGTCTCCACTTGGTACGTGCTAACACAGTCACACAGAGCCGGAGATGCTGCGCATTCTTTCCCACCTACTGGGGGATTGGGACTGAACAGCGGTCTAGGGGATGTCCATAACCTCGCATACAAGCTCGCAGCAGTGCATCATGGATGGGGCGGCGACAAGCTTCTGGACAGCTATGAAGCTGATCGGCGGCCAGTTGCCTGGGATAACGCTGAGCAGAGCGTCAAGAACGGCAAACAGATATTTGGTCTCTTGAAAGCGCTCGGCACTACCGATCCTGATGTTCAAGTTGCGAGACAGAATCTATATCGCAACATTGAAGACGCACAAATGATGAAGGAGATCAACAAAGGCATTGAAGGCCAGCGTGAGCACTTTGACAACCTTGGTCTTCATGTGGGCTATGTCTACGGTAACCACAAGCGCCCAGACTGTGCCTCAACATACGAACCCGTTTGCATTCCTGGAGCCCGCTTACCGCACGCGTGGATCGAGTTATTGACCCCAGACCAGATACGGCTCCCCCCCATTGATTGTTCTTATGTATCTGAGTTTCTTCCCGAGGAGCTAAAACTGAAACAGTTCTCCACGCTAGATTTGTGTGCATTTGACGCCTTCACACTCATTGTGGACATAAGATCAGCCGATCATTGGGGAAAGATCCTCGAAGAAGTGAAACGGCAACTCCCCGGCAAGTGTAGTGGGCTAAAACTCGAGATGATGACCAGGGGGGCAAACTTTGACTTTCAGGCCGGGGGTGGCGAAAAGTGGATGGCGCTGACGAGATTAGCGGAGGGCCAGGCAATTCTAGTCCGTCCCGACCAGCACATCTTAGCGCGCTTTGAATATCCGGGGGAATCTAGTGGGGTACTGGGGGAATTGAGGGCGCATCTGGCGTGGGATGAGGGTATAGGTGGTTCGGGGTAGATGGACCAACGGACAGACGGAGTTTTGCAGAGCCGTCGGGATATCCGGGAGGGTGGGCTGATGTACGTCTTGGAATGAGGGACAATGTGGTTTTAGATAGTAGATAGGACATTTTCACTCTGCAGAGACGTCTAGTATATCCGACGGGTATAAAAACGATAACCATTCGCATTGATCGCCCATATAGTAGATGTGAGTAAAGAGGGAAGACCGGCAATGGCGAGGCAAAGTGTGGAGGAAAGCAGTGTCGGATAAGAAAACAGCCGCTCTCCACCACCCACGGTGGGGATTCGTGTGGAGAGAGCGTGGGGAGTGACGCCACGGGGAAAAAGACTCCCAAGAAGTACGGAAAGCATATGCCGATCGCAGTCTCACTACACGTTCAGCTATAATAACTACGCGTCGCTGCCTGCTTCCTATTACCCCTCCCCCTCATTGTCTCTCTTTTTCTCAATCTCCCCGTTCTTTCCTCTCCCTGCAACACTGGCTCATCCGCCTTCTGCCTTGTTGCAATCCGCCCATCATGTCCCACTCCGCCGCTGAATTGCAAAAGCCTACGGGCGAGTACCGTCAATACTTGCCCGACCTGAGTCTGAAGCGCTTCCAGGTGATGCGCACTCAGGATGCCCATGAATATGCCCATGATTTCAAGACGCTGAAGAACCCCCCGTGGCTGCATGCGCTGTATATGCACTGGGTTGATCTGCTGCAGGAACCCTTCAAGGGTGTAACCACCGATGGTAGGTTCTTTTCCTCCGCCACATTCACTCCGCACCGCCGCTTCGAAGGGCCAATGCTAATCAATTGCCAAAGGAAATGTTCGCCCTGGCTTGTTCACGCTCCAGGATGAAGATGTGCCCGTTGGCGACATTGTTGAGTCCGTTCAGAACGTCCTGTCTCTTGCCGACGACAAGCAGCGCCAGGCGCTGTCCTATCACATTGACTCTCCCGAATGGAGGACCTGGTCAAACCCCGAATTCCTTTTGGCCCACAAGGGTCTGCGCCTCGACGAGATTGACAACAAGCTGCGCGATGCCATCATGAACGTCCTGAAGACCACCCTGTCGCCCGAGGGCTACGACAAGGCCGTCAAGGCCATGCGCATCAACCACTTCCTCGGCGAGCTGGTGGAATCTCCCAAGGTGATGAACGAGTTCTCCTACAACTTTGTCCTTTTCGGTCGTCCCTCGACCACTCGGCCATGGGGCTGGTCCTTCTATGGCCACCACCTTTGCCTCAACATCTTCCTGTACAAGAACCAGATCGTCGCCTCCCCGTGGTTCACCGGCGCCGAGCCCAACGAGATCGACGATGGCCCGTACTCGGGTACTCGCATCATGCAGATCGAAGAAGAGCTCGGCCTCCGACTGATGCAATCCCTCACCCCTGACCTTCAGCAGAAGGCCCGCGTATTCGAACAGATGCACGACCCCGCCATGCCCCCCGGCCGCTGGAACCGCGATGACCAGCGCCACCTGTGCGGAGCTTACCGGGATAACCGTGTTGTCCCTAACGAGGGTATCACCGTCGAGGGATTCACCGAGGAACAGAAGAAATTCATGTACGGTATTTTCGAACAATACCTGCTATACCTCCCCGCCCGGGCCCGTCAGATGAAGCTGGACCAGATCCGCCAATATGAGTCGGAGACGTACTTCTGCTGGATCGGTGGATACGGCGACAGCGACCCCTTCTACTACCGCCTGCAGAGCCCCGTGGTCCTGGTCGAGTTCGACCACCACTCCGGTGTCTTCCTCAACAACGAGGAGCCCAAGAAGTTCCACATTCACACCTTGTTGCGTACGCCGAATGCCGGAGATTACGGACAGGCTTTACGGGCTCAGATTCCCGCTGTGGAGGGACTTAATGGGAAGGAGATTGTGTGGGAGAAATCCGCTTTGTAAAGGCAGGAGACGTGTCAATATATGATGATGTTATGTGAATAGAGTGTTATATAGCGTACATACATATGGAATCCATGATATCCTCCAGGATGGCTATGAGGCTGTCACCATCCTGACAAACCATTTCTCGATCTTTGAAATCTAGTTATTGTCCTTTAGGCTCAAAGCTGCTCCAAAGAAGTAACTCGGACCAATGGATCAATTGGATCCATTCATCGGCATAGTTATTAAGAGGATAATAGCCGATGTCGGGGCTCAGAAAGGGATCGGATCAGCGGAGGAATGCAGATGGGTCAGGAAATAGCCTGTCTTCTTATAGGGACAGACTTATCCCGCACGGTCCTCATTCGCCCTATTTGTTTCTTAGCTCTTTACTTCTTATAAGACAGGGCATGAGGTAATGGCCTCTATCTAGGATATCTGCTGTTGTCCATACACGGAATGCAATCATACAGAGAAGTCCTACCGACATGTTGCCATAATGTTCCTGTGAAGTTATTCGAATTGTTGAGTTATGAAAATTTCGTGAGTTTGGAGGAAACAGTGCTAGTCAGTAAGTAGTTGACTGTATAATGTGTATGTGTATAGTGTCAACTACTACTTAGGAATATGTGATATTAGCGTGGTGGCTATATTTCGTCTTGTGGGTCCTTGGCAACTCCGGTAGTATGATTTTCTGCTTTCATCCTATTTCATGCTAGTTAGTACTAGTATAACGAACTTGTCATAGTATGGGTACCACTATATGAGCGGGCATATTTGTGGTTTTTGGTTAGTATGTTAATCTGGCTTCTGAGGAGGTTACTTGATGGTTTTCGAGCTATTTGGTGTCTCTTGCTAGGCATAGCCACAGTCTATTGCGACTCTACTGCAGAGTATATCCTTCTTGTCTCAGGTGCCCTACTGATCCTAAACCGAGTTCAACTCGCTGAATTACATCCAATTCTACCAGACTTTTGTCCCGGAGATGACATCTCCCGGATCTAAGGATAAAACCAATTAATATCCTGCATTATAATGCATAAGTTGCAAGGATGTCCAGTAACGTGACCAACAACAACTCCCGAAAGCGACATCTTGCTTTATCATGTTCGCTAAACCGTAAATCCTTCTCGAACTGGATCCTCCCAGCGCAATGCAGACAAGCGAGCAAGCAATCAAGCGCAGGCAGGCTAGGCACTCTCGGCTCCGAATTGGGCCATCCACCTACTGACCCTGCTGCTTCAGTGGCCTGTCACTCGTTTCCATGTCTGGCTGTCTCGTCAATCCTGGGCAATTCCACTTAACCTTCAGAAACCGATTTGCTTTCCTGGAAGAGTGCTCCACTGACTACCCCCTTCAATTTTAGCCTTCCAAAAATGGTACTCATAAACACTTAGCTTCATTTCCAGCATCTACAGCTCGATGTACCCTGTACGCAAGTATCCCGACATAGGTTGGGACCTTCATGATGTCGCTGCGGTTCGGGCTTCCCCCAAACTCAATCGGCGGTGGCACACTCGGTCACGCCGATGACCTCAAAGACCTTCCAATCATCAGCTGGACTACTACAGGGATGAGGTGGCTGAGTGTTGAGCGGACGCGTGTATTGTGCACTGTCTGACCGATCCACTTCGTTTATACGTATACGAGGGAGCTTTCATTGTTCCTGTGAGAATTCAAGCCCCGCAGCTTGCGAGTGGGCGAGACAAGGCAATCGAGCTACAAACAGGATTGCTATGCCCAGCTGAAGTCCCACTCCCCATCGGGATGAACACACACACCATTGAAACTTATGCATCAGGCCATGTCTTCGGCAGTGATTGTCATTATCCTTGCGCAATAATCGTTTCAAAGTGATCAAGCTGCACAATGATCGGGCGCGGCTTGTTCCTTGCCAACTTCTATGGCGATAAATGAAGGCTTTCGCATAGTATCATCCTGTCAACCTCGTGGACCGGATTGTTTACCCGTCGGCCGGATTTGAATACCGACTCGATGACATGACACGTCGACATCTGTCCCCAAATGGTCTTCCGCGGATCAGTTTGCGAATATAGTATGTGCGTGTCGGAAAGGGCCGCCCCATCCAGCCGTGTCAGGCATGGCGCCATCCACCCAGGACCTATGAGCGCTGCAGATGAGGCTTGGAGCTGACGAGTCCTCGACGGATTGACCGCACTGGAGAAAGTAAAGATAACCGGGGAGGAGGAGCATCAGTAAGGCAGCGCCAAATAAGAAGGAGAGATCGGGTTATCACCAGCAGCGGCTCGACCCGCTAGTCGGCTCCAACCGCCTGGCGGATCTGGCTTCTGGGCGCTTCGATCCGAAAAGGACCCCATCCCACTACACTTTTTCCTCGCTACTGGCTCATGATCGCTCCCATGGCCTCAAAAGCGGTCCGGACTATATCCCTTGAGGGCCATGAAATCGTATCGATGTTGGGAGGCTAGCAAGAATATAATTTGAAGGCCTCCGATGTCGCCGCCGTGGTATAAACTCGGCATCCCTTTCTATGGGCTCTTGCATTATTTGCCTCCCATACTACTAGTAGTTCCATTCTTCTTTCCTTCTTGAACCGTTCCTCCTTCCTTCCTGAACCGTTCTTCCTTCCCCTCTAAGCATCCTTTAAATCCCCTGCTAACCCCACTTTAATGGGTAGCGGGATACAGAATCTTTCTAGAAAAGATGGGCGAACTTCAGCACTATCCGGCCGATACACCCAACGTCCCCTTCGCACAACGCCCGATCATCATTCTGGGTGCGGGCATTATTGGCTGTGCTGCAGCGCGACAGCTTCTACAGGACGGCTTTCCAGTCATCTTGGTTGCGGAGTATCTACCTGGTGATCAAGATTTCCGCTATGCATCCGCATGGGCTGGGGCGGCATGGCATCCAGCGGGCGGAATTTGTTCGGAATGGCGATATCTTCAAGCCATCAGTCATCGCCACCTGCTGAAAATGGCACAAGAAGAACCCGAATCTGGAGTCAGCATTGTCGATGCCCTGGAGTATGTCGAACGACCCCCCGCTGAAAATTCGTCGGCATGGGGAAGGACTCTGGCTGCCAAGGTAAGACAGCTCGCATAAGCAGTAACAGACACAGTTCGGGGGTTGACACAAGACCTAGTGGCGTGACTTACAACCGGGTGAATATCCATCAGAGTTCAGCTGTGGATGGTCGTACGAGACTCTCGTCACCGATCCCACCATCCACATGCCGTATCTGGGAAAGAAGATCACTGCTCTGGGCGGCCAATTCATTCGCAAGCGGGTAGAGTCTCTTGAAGACCTCTATCACATGTTCCCCGAGTCAAGTATATTCATCAACGCCAGCGGAATCGGAAGTCAGACTCTCAAGGATGTCCGAGACGACCAATGCTTCCCGGAACGGGGGCAGAACGTGTTCTACAAGACGGAAAATTGTCGCACAATGTACTTCCGGAACGGCCAAGAATACACCTACGTGATCCCTCGACCCATGTCACATGGTGTCATTTTAGGAGGCGTCAAACAAGCTGACAACCTGTAAGGCCTGATCAGGAGCACCTAAGCAGCTACACCTCTGGGGACAACGAATACTAATTCTATAACAGATCCTCCGAGCCAGACATGGAAATCGCCCGAGATGAGATCGCACGCGCACACCGTCTTGCGCCCGAAATCGTTCCCGAGAACCCACCTGAAGACACCCTTAGCTACATCGTCGGCATCCGGCCCTCGAGGAAGGGTGGCTTCCGCTTAGACTCGGAACAGCACGAAAACCGGTACATCCTCTCAGCCTATGGATTCGGCGGAGGCGGCTATGCCTTCTCGTACGGAGTCGCCGATGCACTGTGCAAGATGGTGGAAAAGGTGGAGCGAGAGAATGTGATCTGATCTGATCCTTGTGATCGAGGGTGCTGATACCTTCATGGGAAGAATGCTGGCCATTCAGCCCCGTGGATGTGACGTTCACGTTGACGTTTAGTAGATCCATTAATTAGCATTGAGCAGTGTCGTCGCAGCACCCTCAACACTATAATTAATACAATTGATTCGAGTACTTACAACCGAAGGTGGAGAGTTGTCAATTGCACGCAGAAAGCTAGCTACACCAGTAATCAACCATCCATAGTACCAACAATCCTCATTTATGCCTCAGGCAACAATACACACATACATCTCGTACCTGTACCGAAATAACAAATCCTGACAAGACACCCCTCCTTCAACGCTGACAAATCTACCGCCTTGCCAAGCAGATCAGTCAATCTGCATCTTCTGATTGGACCATGATTCTCCACGATCCAGGGAATCAGTAATTAAGCGTGTCAGCAGGGTGCATTAGCGTCTGCCTTGCGCCTTGGTTCTCCGGACGGTGGAGATCGTATCTCCGGAGGGGAAGGGATGGCATAAGAGTTGGTGGTGTAGAGAGTGATGATGTAAGTATGCGTTGTTGTTGTTGTTGTTGTTGTTGTTGTTGTTGTTGTTGTTGTTGTTGTTGTTGTTGTTGTTAGATTGAGTGCTTATGTTCATGTTTATGCTACTATATGTATGTGTGTGCATACGTATGTATTCTATATAAGTTGTGCTACATCAGTTGCTGTAGGAAAATACTAGAACTAGTTTAAGATCATCACTGCACTCATGCATACGTATGTACTACTTACTTACTACTTAAGAGTAGCTAGAGTATGTAGTATGGCTCTATAGGGAAAGGTAAGATAGAGAAGATCATAACCCATTTAGTATATTCAATCTACTTACTCATCACATCATCACTAGTTAACTATCAACACGTCGGCTGCACCCTACAAATACCTAATAATCATCTTCTCCCCCCTCTTCTGCCTCCATCGATTCGTACTCTTCAACAACTCCGGACACCCCCTCAACACCCACGGCCACTTCCTCAGAAACTGCTCCGTGACCTCCCAATTCGCTGGATCCGACGGCTCCCCCCACACCAACAAACTACACGTATCGGAAGCATTATCCCAGAACCCCATAACATCATGACAAAGCTCATCATCATCGAACCGATCAATCATGAGACACAAATTATCCCGGAGGCGCGGCAACGGGAAGAAATCTAACCACGGGTGATGCGGCACCTGCATTTGGATCTTCGTCGGACGGAGACTCACAGGTAGTCTCTTTTCCTGGATTGCCTCTGGCGGGAGGGTGTTGAACAGGGAGAGGGCGTCGTCGTTGTCACACCAGGTGGTGGAATTGCCGAAGCCGAGAACCGTCATGTTGGTCATAAAGGCACGGAAGACGTTTAGTTTGCTGAGCGTGAGGAGGTGGTCCGCGGACGGGGAGCCGCGGAAGTAGCTCTCGTAGGCGACCCGTGCGAAGTGCTCGAATATTCGCCGGATGTTTTCCGGTTTGGAGGCTTCGCTGGTTAGGGTGCGGCGGGTGAGGAGGGTTTGGGAGGATGGGGAGGAGAAGGAGGTTGTTGTTGATGATGATGATGATGATGATGATGGTGGGCTGGTTTGCTCATGCTTGGTGTTGGGGCCTAGTGCTAGTGGTGGGTGTGAGAAGGATGACCGTGTGACCAGGGCATTGTTGTTGCTGTTGCGTTCGGCTTGTTTTCGTTTCCCTGTAGTTGTTTTAGGTTAGATGGGATAGATGATAAATGGGTATTTGGTGGATGTATCTCACGGTATGCTCGCTGGTTCAGCCGGTTCTGTCGTCGTCGACGTTCCTGGCGGTCGCAGAGACCAGCCCAGTCATCTTCAGGGTCCACTTGAGCGGCGGCGGTAGAAGCAGCAGCAGCAGCAGCGGGGGTCACCACGGGGAGTGGCGGTGATGAGGAAGACCGCGTGGCTTTCTCCGTGCTGGTGTCTTGACTAGTCGGCGACCGTAGCAAGTCCGATCCCATGTGAGTGTGTATGACTTGGATGAATTCCTGTACTGGGAGGCCGAGAGATGATGATAGTGACGATGGGGGGAGATGATCGGAGAGGGAATGCCGCTATAACGGAGTAGGAAAGGCAAGTCGAAGTCCCATGAAAAGAGCAGGTCCGCCGGTGCTTTTAAAAGTCCAGCGCTGCGACAGTTTCGAATGGGTTTCGAGGACACTAACCCGAAGGGTAATAGTGGTTGCTCATCATACATCAGGTATGGTTCGGTAAATACTAATGTTACGTTACGCGTTAGGAGAACATCTTCTATAAGTTGGTTAGTACATTCATTCTGTGTCGATAAATAACCTGATTAGAAAGTTGTTGTGAAAGAGGTACCTTCAGCAGGAAATGAAAGATACCCATACTGTACATATCGATTAGAGTACAAACAAGCCGCCCAAACGCTAATTATGCTGAACAAAACCAAACTAAGAGCGTCGAGACCTTGTCTCTTCTCCCTTGATGACTCGCTCCAGATGTGCTCGCTCTCCACTGTGCTCCACCAGATTTCGAAACACACCTCCTTCGATGTCGAGTAACTCCTGCGGTGTGCCAAATTCCACGGCCTTTCCGGCGTCCATTACGAGGATTCGATCAAAATCCGCAACTGTGCTGAGGCGGTGCGCAATGACAAGGAGCGAGGTAGCATTGCGTCCAAACTCTTCCCGAATGGACCGCTGAATCAGAGTTTCGGTCTCCATATCCACTGCGGAGGTGGCCTCATCCAGGATCATGATCTTCGGTTGGGAGACTATGGCCCGCGCCAGGCAAAGTAGTTGCCGTTGACCTTGGGAGAGATTGAGCCCTCCCTGAGAGACGACTGATGACAATGACGCGAAAAAGTTGCTTGTTTTGACCGGTTCCGTGCTCGAGTTGGCGGATGACGGCAATGTACCGCTGTCGCTCAGTGGCTCGCTACTCGAATGCGACGCCAGGGTCAGTGTATCCTCGAACGAGACCAGATGTACGCGTTCTAAAGCGTTGTAGAGTTCCACATCACTATACTCGTTGAATGGGTCCAGATTAGACCGCAGCGTTCCCGAAAAGAGCACTGGGTCTTGTGGAATGATGGCAAGACGGCCGCGTAAAGCTTCAAGCTTGATTTGCGAGATATCCAGCCCATCAACGAGTATGCGCCCTTGTCGGGCCTCGAGAAAGCGGAACAATGCCAGGGTTAGCGATGATTTCCCAGCCCCGGTACGTCCAACAACGCCCACTCGCTGGTTGTTCTCCATAGTGAAACTAAGCCCGTCAATCACAGGAGGCAGGTCGGGGGCGTACCCCACAACCAGATCCTCAACTTCGACCTTTCCACGCGTGGGCCATGCCGCTGGCGGGTTATGCCCCCCTTGCTCCTCCAGCTCAATGTTGCAGTACTCCAACACCCGCTCAGTAGCGTTCATGTCTGTTTCCACATTTGCATAGAAGCGCAGGCCCATCGACACGGCATAATTGTATTGTAGCGCAAATGTCATGGCGAAACCTGCCAGTGCCGGAGAGATGCTGGGAACGTACACTACCAGAGCTGCTGTCATCCCGGCCAGCACGGCTCCCGCAATACTCATCCGAAATGATAGCCATCTGTCTAAAAGCCAGAGATACCACGCCGCCTGAGCATGACGATCGATGCGATCGTACATATCTTTCATATAAATATCTGCTTTGTTGAAAGCTCGAATCGTGGTCAAACCGGAAAGACTGGACCCAAATCGTTCCAGGACAGGACTTTTAGCGGTACTTTCGAGTCGTTTGATTTGACGCATTCCCGTGAGGTAGATCTTGGAGAGTCGAAAGCATAAGATCAGGAGGATACAGGCAAGCACCAACAATATCGGGGATACCAATACTCCTGCTGCTAGTATACTAGTCAGCTCCAGAGCCTTGAACACGAAGTGTCCAATATCATAACCGAGCCTCCAGTCAAGAATGTACATGTCAGATGTGAATCGATTGAGTATCCGGCCAAGGGGCACCGTATCTAGCCACCGCAGCGGTGAGCGCAATACAGCTGCTAATAGGTCATCAAAGAGTCTCTGGGAAGACTCCAGAGACGCAAGGGCAAGGGCCAAAGTCCTTAGAGTTCCAATGATACATGCGGCTACCGAAAAGCATACATATATGCTAAGATAGAACATGGAGTCCTTGTCGACAAAACGTCTGTTGACATCCACTGTTCGAGATTGGATGGCAGCGCTCGAATGGGTCGGTTGGGATGAGGATGTGGAAGAGTCTGTCCAAACGCTTATCCACCAGGACTAAGAACGGTCAATTGTGGTCCATGACTGGAAGGATATGGGCACTTACTCTTCCGACTAAAAGCGTCATAAATGCGACATAAGCCAAAAACGTTATCGTCCACCAGCGTAGGCATTTCCCCTTGGTCATATATGTTGTGTACACTTGCAGGGACACGGCTCCTTTCTCGCGCCTCTCGTCTTCCGTGAACTTCCTTGGAGGCTCGGCGACACTTGTTGCTACTGAGAAGCCTGACTCGGTAGATACGCGCTTCATCGGTGTTATCGGTGTCACAGGTTCGTCGTCTACCACATCAGCATTGCGACCATTTGATGATTTGGCAGATTCGCCCAACATGTCTATCAAATTCTGAGTGGCTGCCAATTCATCTACTGTCCCAGCATGAATCGTAAGTCCGTCCGACAGGATGACACAGTAATCAGTCCGAGATAGACACAAGCCAAGATGATGCGTGACCAGAATCCTGGTCCTGCCATGGCCTAGCTTGCCGATAAGGGCATGCTCATACACGTGGCGCCCAGTCTCCGCGTCAAGTGCACTGAATATATCATCCATAACTAGAATTCCGGCACGGGAATAGAGAGCACGCGCAAATGAAATGCGCCAGCGCTGACCACCGCTCAGATTAATTCCGTTTGCACCAATATCGGTCCGATCGGCATCTGGAAACATTGCGATGTCTTTCTTCAAGCCTGCGGCGTAAATGACTTTGCGGTAACGATAGCGATCGTACGGAAGGCCGAAAAGGATATTGTCCTTGATGGTGGCGTTCTCCAACCAGGGGTTCTGAGCAACATATGCGATGGCCGAGTCAATGATCCAGTTGTGGCGAGTGGCTCGCTGATCATATGTCCTGTTTATGGAAGGAGCATGAGGTACTGCCACGGTCCCAGATAAGACATCACACTCTCCTAAGATTGAGGCTAAAAGTAGGCTTTTCCCAGAGCCAGTCTTTCCGGATATTACACTGAGGCCCTTGGGAGGGAATTGCAAGGTGAGGTCTCGGAGCATAAAGCGCTGGTCGAACTCTGTCCCTTCTTCACCAGGCCAGGCGATGGTCGCATTGTGGAATGAAATCTTGTCGACCGCAGAGGTATGGGGGGACTTTTCGGACGAGTCCAGATAGCGTTCGATGCGATCCGCGCTAATCTTGGCCTCCATTCCCTTCGAAAGTAAATCAGGCAAGCTTGCCATGGCTGATTCTAAGGAGCCGAATATGGAAAGAGTCGTAAACGCAACGGAAGCGGAAAGCTCGCCACGAGTTAAAGTATATACTGTCAATGAGACGGCAGACAGCATTAGAGGTCCCATAATCCACACAGATACCATGCCAATAGTATACAGTGAGGTTTGCCAGAGGAGCCCTAATTCAACGCGGCGCTTCTCGCTAATGCGATCCTGCCATTGCTGCTCCAATGCTGCAAACTTGATTTGGCGGATCCCATGAAGAACCTCTCCTACAGCCCCCATTCGTTTATCGCTTGCCTTCATGTATTCTTCTTGTGCCATGGAGTAGTTCTTCGTCAAATAGGCGTTCATAGGAGCCACAAGAAGAGCAGTTGCGACGCCGGCCAATAAACTCGGCCATCCTATGAGGTGGACTAAGAAGACACCTCCTATAAACAGTCGGATGACAGATGATGGAATCAAGTAGTTGAACATGACGAAATCTGCAATGCGTTTGGAGTCCACCGAGGCAAGATTGATAGGGCTTTGGCTCACAACATCCTGTTGCGGTTCGTCTGCATCGTGGTCACTCCCTTCCTTTTCGTCTGACGATACAAGCTGCTTGACATCCTTACACCTCATTGACTTGGCGAACACGAGCGCTGAAAGACCTTCGTAAATAGGGATCCAAAGCTTTGCATATATGATCCACCAAAGCCACGATTCGATGCTGGACGAGATGATGAGAACGGTTCCCAGCCCGAACACCCAGGCCCATGCCTCATCAACATCCTTTGGGTTCTCGTCAGGGTTGGAATAGCGATTCTCGAGCGATTTCAGTATACCGTACATCGCTGCTTGCGGACCGAAACTTAACACACAGATAATCATGCTAAGCGATGACTGAAGGATGAGTGACCTTTGGTGTGCCACCACGAGGGACCGCCAGAGTGCTCGCGAACCACGCGTACGATCAAGATGTGCATGAAGAGTTTCCGAGCGTGTATCAAACCCCATCTTGGGGAGATCATCGATCTCCAGACCTTCATTGGCGACCGCATGGTCCAAGAGATCGTTGACCCAGCTGAATGTGAACCGTTCCATAGCACTCACAGTACGCTCTCGGTCGACAATCTGGCCATCATGGTACACGTTCGGGCGGCGGGGAAGTAGAAGACACAGTGTAGCCCTAAATAAGGATATTCCAAATTGACTTATCGCTAATCCCACCGACACGGCATCTAGGCGATGCCCAGTATCCCAGACCAAGCCAATCTCTAAGCTGGGAATTATGGCGGCGAGTAAGCTAGTCCCGAATCCATATACTCCTAGCATGTACCGCTTGGTAGGTGCCGGCTCAACGAAGAAACCAATCGTTTGTACGGATATAACTCCCTATATTCGGGTTTGCCGTTAGAGTTAGTCAGAGTGAGAACAAACCATTAGCTGTCGGACTCACCCAGCTCCCCATCTGCAGGCAAAAGGGAACAATCAAGACATGTTGGCCCTTTGTTATGGACAGGATGGCCTGTGCCAGCGATATTCCAAGCCCAGTGACTGATAGAATGACAATTCCTAGTCTCTTCCAAAGATCTGAAAAACCTTTCAACGCCTCATCACTGGCCTCTCCGTCCTTATCCTCATAGCCAGGTCTGTCGAAAGCATGTGCTCCGGGCAATTGGATCGGGGGTCCTTCTTTGACATGCAAGAATCGCCGGATTATGCCGAGTAGTGCGGGAACAGTACAGCTTGAAATGAGTAGAATGCCTAGAGCGCCTATAACAATAGACGCCATGTCCTGGTTTGATGCCATCCTACATGGAGGCAGAACCACATCCGTTGCTGTAGGCTGGAGGGTTGATAGTGTCGAGATTAGTTGTAAATGTTAGAGATCTAATTCAACAGTAATTTTGAGAGGTGTTTTGCTCCCACGCGTAGCTGTAGAGCTTGCATTCCACCTGCATTCTTATTGCGTGCCTTGCATCAAGGGGGAGCGGCCACGATCGCGTACCAACACCACAGGTGAATAAAGACACAGAAGGGCAGCCCCTACTTCTAGTAAGCCTAATGGCTGTATTCTCCACAGGCTGGTGTGGCATTATTGCGGCAACGATACGGATTTAATTGCAATAGTCAGTAGTATCCCGGTGTACAGTGTAACAGTCCACCCATCCATCTGACCACAGTGAAAATTGGTCCGTCATTCTCTGACCTATATCGCATGATTGCGAAAAGCTTTGGTGTGACCTTTGCATAGACAAGAAGCGTAAACGCAAAGACGGGAATACCTCGATAAAGGCCGGTGTATTGAAGGTGAAGCACAAACAATAAGCTTTGTATAGATGAACCGCCCAATTCGGTAAGGTGCACGAGGTACTTGGCGGAGTGGCCGCATTGGCTTGCAAGATGGCATGGGGTTCTGCTGCCACTATGAGCGGTCAGCAGGGCGGTAAAGATTTATACAGATGCACACACATTGTTCCGGGGGGTGTTGAAAATTATATCCGTCTATATCCGTCTATATCCGAAATATTCTCAGCGAGGTCGACGAGGTTCTGCCGCTTTTAGCGGTCAGATAAGCGGTAATAACGAGCAGTAAACTATGGCAACCCGGGGCAAACAGTAGTGCAGCTTCGGGATCGGCAAAACCAGAAAGCGACCGCGCTAGTCCAGCTTAGGGTAGCTCTCTGGAGGTCAGCAAGTCACGGGGAGAACCCGCTATTATTCAGCGGGGCCGAGATGCTGATTTGCTGACAATCCATGGCCGTACATTGGGCGGCGCGGAGTCGCTGTCCAACTCCGGCCCCGACTTCGCTGCGGAGGACCCCGGCCCATTTTTGCTACTTGGAGTCACTTTCCTCGGTCGGCTCTACTTAATCTCTTCCTCTTGTTGTGGTCAAGGGTTTGAAGGTATCCGTGTCTGTTCGAACGCATTCACCCCGCTGCTGCACCCTTCCCTGTCACACTGTCCCGCGATCCACGCGCACCAGGACGGCAATGCTTCTTTCCCAAACCCGGGGGCGTATGCCCTCCGCTCTCCGGAGCATCGCCAAGCGCTCTTTGCTGAACAGGTATGGATAACGGCCTACAACATGACTTGTGTCCTCCAATTGCTTCAGAATACAGGCTGATATTAGTGTCATTCACTCAGTCGCCCTCTGTCCACCACTCTGCCGAAGCAACAGAACGGTAACGATGACGAGTTTACTGGCCTCAACAAGGTCTCCCGCCACATCACCCAGCCCATCTCCCAGGGTGCTTCCCAGGCCATGCTGTATGCCGCTGGCCTCACTGAGGCGGACATGAGCAAGGCTCAAGTCGGTATTTCGTCTGTCTGGTACAATGGCAACCCCTGCAACATGCATCTGCTCGATCTCAACAACCGTGTCCGCGAGGGTGTCCAGAAGGCTGGTTTGGTCGGATTTCAGTTCAACACTGTCGGTGTTAGTGATGCTATCAGTATGGGTACCAAGGGAATGCGCTTCTCTCTCCAGAGTCGTGATCTGATCGCCGATTCTATCGAGACCGTTATGGGTGGTCAATGGTATGACGCTAACATCAGCATTCCCGGCTGTGACAAGAACATGCCTGGTGTGTTGATGGCAATGGGACGTGTGAACCGCCCCAGTTTGATGGTTTACGGTGGTACCATCAAGCCTGGTTGCGCCTCCATGCAGGGTAACGCCGACATTGATATCGTCTCCGCCTTCCAGGCCTATGGTCAGTTCATTAGCAAGGAAATCACCGAGCCCCAGAGATTTGACATTATCCGCAACGCCTGCCCTGGAGGTGGTGCCTGCGGTGGTATGTACACTGCCAACACCATGGCTACTGCTATCGAAGTCATGGGCATGACCCTTCCTGGATCCTCTTCCAACCCCGCCGAGTCTGACGCTAAGTACCTTGAATGTCTTGCGGCTGGTGAGGCCATCAAGACTCTGCTCAAGGAAGACATTCGTCCTTCGGATATCCTGACTCGCCAGGCTTTCGAGAACGCCATGGTTTTGGTCAACATCACTGGTGGCTCCACCAACGCCGTTCTTCACTTGATTGCCATTGCGGACTCTGTTGGTATCAAGCTGGATATTGAGGACTTCCAGTCCGTCTCCGATCGCACCCCTTTCTTGGCGGACCTCAAGCCTTCCGGCAAGTACGTCATGGCTGACCTGCACAAGATTGGTGGTACTCCCTCTCTGCTCAAGTTCTTGCTGAAGGAAGGTCTCATCGATGGCTCTGGCATGACTGTCACCGGTCAGACCCTGGCTAAGAACTTGGAGAATGTGCCGGACTTCCCTGAGGATCAGAAGATCATCCGTCCCCTGTCCAACCCCATCAAGGAGACTGGCCACATTCAGATCTTGAGGGGTTCTTTGGCCCCTGGTGGCAGTGTCGGTAAGATCACTGGTAAGGAAGGAACCGTCTTCACCGGAAAGGCTCGCGTCTTTGATGATGAGGATGATTTCATTGCTGCTCTCGAGCGCAACGAGATCAAGAAGGAGGAGAAGACCGTCGTTGTCATCCGCTACACTGGTCCTAAGGGAGGACCTGGCATGCCCGGTAAGTCGCTACAGCAAAATGTTCTCCTTTCCACTGCGCACGTGTACCAGTAACGCTAACAAATTGCGACGAGTAGAAATGCTGAAGCCCTCTTCTGCCCTGATGGGTGCCGGCCTCGGACAGTCCTGCGCCCTGATCACCGATGGCCGTTTCTCCGGTGGTTCTCACGGTTTCTTGATCGGACACATTGTTCCTGAAGCCGCCGTCGGTGGCCCCATTGGCCTGGTCAAGGATGGTGATGTTATCACTATTGACGCCGTGAAGCGTGTTCTGGATCTTGATGTTGAGGAGACCATCCTCGCGCAAAGAAGAAAGGAGTGGGAAGCCGACAAGGCTGCTGGCAAGCTCCCTCCCACCGGCCTGACCCTCAGAGGTACTCTTGGCAAGTACGCTAGGTACGTATCACACCTTTAACTGGCGTCACTTATATCTTTACGATGCATCTCTATGGCTCATGTCTGGACGCGATGCTAACGTTACCCAATAGAACCGTCAAGGATGCCAGCCACGGCTGTATCACCGACTCTCTCGAGTAATCGGGATGGCATATATGATTATATGTCCTTCTTTGCGTCCGTATATTCTTCGAAGTTAAATTGTGTCTTATATGAATCTCTTTTTTTCTTTTCAGCTACTCTATCTGGGATGGTTTTGGGTCGTTTTGAGTCTGGGACCGCACGTGGCTACTGTTTTGTATAGGCGAATTGAAACGAACCAAAAGTGCTGCTTGTTATGACCTCACTATATGGTCTCGTGTATTTACAGAAGATCAAATACAGCAAATAATATTGTTAAGAAAACATCTATTCTACCTGGGAAGCGAGGTTATTTACTCCGCACCCCATAACCGTTCCACGGATCGTATCTGGATGCACGTGGGCCGTACATCACATGACTGTCGCTTAGTGTTTGCAAAGTTTGTAAATTTTTCTTATCGGCTTCTACTTTCTATCGAGGGGCGTCTCGTTCCTACTTGGCTCAAACCTTACTTTGTCGGACTCACATCTTTCCAGGCCCCAGCCGGAGTATATCTTAATCATGGCCCCTGCTCCGATCGCATCTTCGAGCGATGATATCGCGACTGTTCTCCAACTAGTTACGCCCCCTCAGATTGCCCCGCACCGCTCCCACGACCCCTCCAACAATCAAAAGCGGAGCGATCCCTTCCAGTTCGGCTCCCGGTACCTGGAAGAAGGAGACGATGTCTTCGAGTTCAACGCCTGGGATCATGTCGAGCCCGACGACGAGTTCAAAGCCTTCGCAGAAGTCCAATATTCGAAGCAGCGCGAAACCCCGGTTTCGGATTTCGACAGAAACCGTTTCAATGCCGACCCTGCCAAGTGGTGGAACCTTTTCTACAAGAACAACACAGCCAACTTCTTCAAGAACCGAAAATGGCTCCGCCAGGAGTTCCCTGTCCTTGCGGATGTGACTCAGCCTACAGCAGGAAAGAAGGTGGTGCTGGAGGTCGGTGCAGGTGCCGGAAATACTGCCTTCCCATTGTTGGAAAACAACGAGAACGAGGAGCTCATGGTTCATGCTTGTGATTTCTCCAAGACCGCTGTCAAGGTCATGCGCGAGAGCCCACACTACAACACTAAGCATATGACAGCTGATGTGTGGGATGTCACGGCGGAGGCGGATGAGAACAGCAATGGACTTCCTCCGGGCCTTACTGAGGGGTCGGTCGATGTCGTCGTTCTCATCTTTATCTTTTCTGCCTTGGCCCCAGAGCAGTGGAACCAGGCTCTTCGTAATGTATACCGCGTCTTGAAACCCGGCGGACATGTTCTGTTCCGCGATTACGGACGGGGCGACTTGGCACAGGTTCGCTTCAAGAAGAACCGATACATGGGCGAGAACTTCTACGTTCGCGGTGATGGAACACGGGTGTACTTCTTTGATCGCGATGAGCTTGAGAAGATGTGGGGCCAATGGACTCCGGAGAAGGGCTTGCCCACGGCACTTGCGACAGGAGAGGAAACCGAGGCCAAGGATGAACAGAGCCCTACTGACATCAAGGGTGTCTTTGACATCGAGAAGCTAGGTGTCGATTACCGGTTGATCGTTAACCGTCAGCGCAAGCTGAAGATGTACCGCTGCTGGATTCAGGGCCACTTCCTCAAGCGCGATACCACTCCCGCCGTCGACGCTTCGAATAACGAATCGTGATATCCTTTGATTCTTCCGCAAAAGCTTAGCCATGGCTCTGGGGCGTGGTGGAAATTGCAGGATGATCACTCATAGTGGCGTCGGCATGAACAAGCTACTGTTGTCTAGACCACATGCAAACAGCCAGCTTCTTTCCATGTCACACATCTATTACATGAGGATTCGGAGACTTCCTTTCGTTCGGAAGATGTTTCAAACCCATCCGACGCTCGAACGAACTCTCGGAAATCACATGGAACGGAGGCCTAGGGCAGTTGGTCACGCGCACAACCAGTTCGTTGCGGCATCTAGTTGATATTTTAATCGACTTTTCGTGAAAGATATGACTGTCATTCGGCGCCAGTGCTCACGTTCTCAACGAAGGCAAAAGTGAGTTTCTGATCCTCGATGGAGGATCTGATGATACCCATGACGATAGATAGAGACTAGACTAGAATTCATTTGGTTACATTCTTGGGGCGAATTGCACATGGATCAATTGATCGCATTAATTTCCCCGTTTCATTCATTGGGCGGATGTCGGGAGCCTTGTTCTACCCTAAGTATCACAAGCTCAAGTAGAATGACCCTATCGACATTCCCGACAGCTCATGGTACGTAGGTGAGCTTTATGCTTGCCCCCTCATAGTCTGAAGAAACAGACTCAGCTTGGTATCTTGATATAATCTCTCTCATTAGACTCTATAAGGCGATGTCTGACCCAACGAGACCCATGCATAGTCCGGTATGAGCAGGAACCGCAAGTCGAAGGCACCTTGAACTGAAACAAGGGAGATCTGGCCATACTCAAAGACTCAGAACACCAAGGGATCAAACAAACCCCGAGCGGATGTTTTCAGCGGCCACGCGGACATGCCACAGAAGCGGAAGGGGTCTTGTGTCGATTGGTATGTGAGATTCCTCATTCCTGCACTCGTCACCCTCCCATCTGCAACAAAGCCACATAGACAGCTACTGCCGACCCATGTTTCGGATCAGCACAATCTTAATTTGCCTTCATGGCTGACAATTTATCTATTTGTTTATGTCTGACAATGAAATCAGGCATTCGGTCATGTTATATGCTTCAACAGCGCCCCTATGGCAGGTGATACGGTCCGCTGAAGGCCTCAGCGCATCCAACCACCATAACTGCAGCTTCAGCAGTCGTCGATCCTGTCCTATTCCGTCGTTCATCTGCCTTACCTATTGCATCTGAAAGCCCTGTTCGGTGTCTTGCACCTATCAGGGAAAACGTGCGCACTGCACCCACTCTTTCCGGCTGGAGTCTGGGAAATCTGGACGGTCCCAGGCAGATCGGTGCCAGGGCAAAACCTTGTTAAAAATAACTTGTTCGATCTTGCGCCCGACGGCCAATTGTATACGCACTGGAGACTCTTGATGATTCGGTCCGTGACGTACGTGCACCTCCACACTCCATCGGTGGATTGTGTGTCCCCGTGGGCACGCGGAGATCGGGGGCATTAGTCGAGAAACTTGCCTAATCTAGTGACAAGCAGGAAAGTAAAAGCTATCCGCATGCGACTTGCAGATCTTCCAGAGGGATATAATAAAGTCGTGCATCTATGACCTTGCAGGACACGACCCGCCCCCTTCTGCCTTCTATATTATCGATACCCTCTGCCACTAGCGTCGTACATCACTCTTCACAATTCATTCTGCTCTCATTCATCATGAAGTTCACAAACTATCTTTTGACAACTGCATCACTCGCAAGCAGTGTCCTAGCGGTTCCAGCTCCCCGCACCGGATTGGAGGACAGACTCCGTACGCGGTCATTGCAGCGCCAGTCACATCCTCTCGCACCACTTCCACTCGACACTTCCACCAAAGAGGAGTCCAGACTTCTCCAATCCGACGGAAATACCACCCATGTTACATACAGCAGTAATTGGGCGGGTGCAGTGCGCGAGCAACCACCTCCGCAAGGCACGTATTCTGCCGTGTCGGCAACCTTTCGCGTACCAGAACCCACGGCGCAAGGGGGGAGTGGAACGCAGGCTGGATCGGCCTGGGTTGGGATAGATGGCGACACATACAGCAACGCCATTCTCCAAACAGGAGTCGACTTCTACGTGGAAAACGGGCAGACGTACAACGATGCCTGGTATGAGTGGTATCCAGACTATGCATACGACTTCGACCTGGATGTGAGCACAGGTGACACAATTGTCGCCAAGGTGGAAGCCATCTCGCCAAGTCAAGGTGTAGCCACAATTGAGAACATATCAACAGGGAAGAAGGCTACGCAAACGATCAGAGCCCCAGCTGCGACAGCCACACTTGCCGGCCAAAATGCCGACTGGATTGTGGAAGATTTCCAGTCCGGCGACTCTATGGTCGATTTGGCTGGTTTCGGCGAGATCAGCTTCTGGGGCGTGCAAGCACAAGGGGGAGGGTCTACATGGGGTGTAGATGATGCGACTATTGTCGAGCTGAAGCAGGGCGACCAGGTGTTGACGGACGTGGACGTGCAAAGTGACTCGGCCTTCACCGTGTCATATACGAGCTAATGTGATGGTATATGATTGCATTTTCTCATTCTTCAATCATTTTTCTCCTTTTTGGCCGGTGACATAATTTCTGTGGTTAATTTTGAAGACGCCTTGATGTTATTCGGTAGTACTACTTAGCTAAAGGTTGATACATCCAGCATGCGGGCTCGGCTATTGGGAGGAACCAAGAAGGCTATATGGCCCTCGGGTATTTGCCGCATTCTATGATCGCATGCCTTTTCGGCTTTCCTTATATATATCAACTTTCCACTTCCCCAAACCAACTCATTTTCGATGCGAGAATTTATCCATATACACAATCAACCATGTCCCGTATATACCAACTAAGTCGCGCCCTCCAACACAGCCGAATTGGCGCTCTCCGGCCGGGCTCCTCCCTACTACCCGCCCGGCCATCCCGCCGCTGCGGCTTCAGCACCAGCGCCGCACGCCCATTAATGGAACTAACAGGCTTCACCGAAGAGCAACTAACAGTGCGTGACGCGGTATCCGCCATCTGCGCCAAATTCCCCAACACATACTGGCAAGAATGCGACCAGAACGAGCGCGACCCGAAAGAGTTCCACGCCGCCCTCGCTCGAGACGGATGGTTAGGTATCGCGCTTCCTGAGGAACTAGGAGGCGCAGGTCTAGGTAGGCCAATTCTCCCCCCCCCCCCCCCCCCCCCAACCTTTGCCACTCTTCACAGTGCTATATGACTAACATCACATCCAGGAATCTCCGAAGCAACAATGATGATGCAAACCATCACCCAGTCCGGCGCCGGCATGGCCGGCGCACAAGCCATCCACGCCAACGTATATGCAACACAACCACTCGCCCGGTTCGGCACGCGCGAGCAACTAGAAGAAACCATCCCCAAGATCATCGACGGTACATGGCGCACATGCTTCGGCGTCACGGAGCCCAACACGGGCCTCGAAACGCTCAAGCTGAAGACCCTAGCCACCAAAAAATCCTCCGGAGATGGTAGTAGCATCTACTCCGTCTCAGGGCAGAAGATCTGGATTACCTGCGCGCAAGTGGCCAGCAAAATGATTCTATTAGCGCGCACGACCCCGCTGGAAGAAGTAACCAAGTCCACGCAGGGTCTATCGATGTTCTGCATCGACCTTGACCGCAACAAGCCCGGTCTGGACATGCGCAAGATCAAGAAGATGGGTGGACGGGCTGTCGATGCTAACGAGGTGTTCTTTGATGGGTATGAAGTACCCGCGAACACTCTCATCGGGCAGGAGAATGAAGGGTTCCGGATTATTCTGCATGGGATGAACGCGGAGCGGTGTTTGCTTGCTGGTGAGGCATTGGGGTTGGGGTATGCGGCGCTGGAGCGAGCAGCGGATTATGCGAAGGAGAGGGTGGTGTTTGGACGGCCGATTGGACAGAACCAGGGCATTGCGCATCCGTTGGCGGATGCGTATATGAGGTTGGAGGCGGCCAAGTTGGCGACGTATCATGCTGCAAGGCTGTATGATGCGTCGAAGAAGGATGAGACGATTCCGCTGCATTCGGTGGGAGTGGCGTGTAATAGTGCGAAGTATTTGGCTGCTGAGGCGGCGTTCACGGCGTGTGAAAGGGCGGTGCTGAGCCATGGGGGTATGGGGTATGCGATGGAGTATGATGTGGAGAGGTATTTGAGGGAGTGTTTGGTGCCTAGGATTGCGCCGGTGAGTAGGGAGATGATTTTGAATTATGTTAGCGAGAAGGTGTTGCAGTTGCCGAGGAGTTATTAGGGTGGAGGTATGGCGCTATAGAGCTTGAATGGTGGGAAGGGGGTTTCAGATGTCAGGGAATTATACTATCTTCAATATACTACTAGTGTCTTCTATCCACAAACTTCATGACTTTATTCCCCGTACCGCTCTTCTCGAACCCACGTATATCTTCAACGAAGGTCAATTTGAACAAATGCCTATTGTCCGGTAAAACAAAGAAGAACGTCTCCACTTCATAAACAAACTGCTCAAGAGGAAAAATATCATCACTTGCCGCGGCACGAAGCAACCTAATCTCCAGGGTCGTCTGGGGCGAAGAATCAAGCGTCCCTGCAATAATCTGCCACTGCAAGATCCCAAACGTCTCCTTCTGCATGAACATATCGATTTTCGTAAACTCAAAATACTCACCATACCACTTAAAGCTAAACCGACGGTCACGATCCCAGAGTCGGAGCACGCGGAAGTACTTCAGCTCATGCGGTTCGACAACTCCACAGGTGCGCAGAAACTCGCCAAACGCTGCGCGATGTTGACGGTTTTCTTTCACATCTGTGAAGAACATCAACAGGAACCGCCGCCGGTGACACTGACGTAGGAGCTACGAACGGTATTTATTTTCGGGGTTCGTGTCCTTGGTTAATCGCTCGATAATTTTGTAGCTAGTAGGAAGGTCATGAGTATATCACCCGATCGGAGGAGATTTTTAACAGCTGATAGGACTTACAGGTCTTTCTTGGTAGACAGTGGCCACGACTCGAGGGTGCTATTAGAACTAGGTTGTATCTACACAGCGGTCTGAATTACCTGAGGACCGGGTGGGTAAAGTATATTAGGGTTGTAATCTCGCAACTGCGAGCACTTCATCCACGGAAAGTTGTTTGGTACTCATCATGATGGATAAGGGATATAATCACAAGATAGAAGTTCCTAGTATTAGGATTTTGAATAACAGGGGATTCGTTATACCCTCACGTCGCAGTCACCCATAGGCTCAGACTGACGCCGTTCAGAACTCTATGGTACTTAATACGTGGTCTGCTAATCGCGACAAGTCATGTTTTGCTTTCTCGAGATGAAATGGTCAGCTGGGAATTAAATGAATACTCGAAAACCGCAATGTGCTAACCGTGGCGTTCCAGATCGAGTAATTTGCGTGATTCTGCCTATTTTCCTCCAAGACTACAACTGTGATAATGAGAGAGGCACTTCCCAGGACGTGCTGCATCTGCTGCAAGTGAGTAGTACGTAATATCGGGTTTACGAGATCCAGGTAGGGGGTTATGTTGCGTTGCAACATGGTAATTCGTATCCTCTGCATTTGAATTGGTCACTACTAAAGCATTATGAAATGAACTGCTTACTATAGGTACCCCGTATAACCTCATGTTCTCAATAAGCAAGCAGTCTGAATCCCTCACTCCCTCGACCCCAATTCAAAAGTAAACTGCTTCGAAGCAGGTGACACCCTCCAGCGTGCAAAGAGCTGCGCATTCTCCACCAGAATGCGCCGCAGCATCTTTCCCCTCTCCTCTACCCCAGGCCACACGCCCTGCCATTCGCGTACATACGGCCCCATGATCTCCAAGGCTTCTCTGACCCACCCCCCTGTCCTCTCCTTGTCAACTAATTCCTCCTGCACCATCCGCCTTCCCAGCTCGCCCAAGAACCGCTCCCTCTCCTGCCTATCTTTCACCGCAGCATGCATGACCGCTAGTAGTATATGCGACCGGATTGACAAGTCCAATTCATCCATATCAATATCTTGGAGCCCTAATCCAAGTGTTTCCTCCACTGCCACAGCGGCTAGAAACTCTACCTCCTCCTCACTCCCAACCTCTCCATCCCACCCCCTCCACCACGCCTGCACTCCAATTCCTCCATCCGGCCACCCACACCATATCACCTGCTCTGAATGGCTATTTCCATCGGGACCCTCTCCCTCCGATATTTGTGCAAGATACTCTGTCTCAAGCCCATGTATATCATACATTCCCTGCGCGACCAATATCCCAAACCTGTCGGGTCCCTCTGTTTGCCGGGAGGTTACCTCAGCCACGCGAGATGGTGGTGAAATATCAGGAGCGAAATAGTCAAGCCAGAAGCGCGCATGTGATTCCGAATAGGATGGTGCGCTGGGGTATGCCGTGTGCCGGCGTGTCATAGTTGCCTCCAGCGTGCTGAGGGCCAATGAAGTAAGAGTGACAAACGGTAGAAAGGGCTGCCTACGGTGTGTGCACGCGACAGTGTAGGTCCAGCGAGGGAGTTGCAAAATGTGTATAGATGATGCCGGACTTTGACGCGGCTGACATAGTGGGGAGGAGGAGTCGGGAAGGTCCTGGAGGTCGGGCAGGCGGTAGAAGCGCGCTGTAGTGCGCTGGGTGAGGAATGGGGTAGAGTAGTAGGAGCGCCAGGCAGAAGAGTGCAGGAGGGAATGGTGGGCTGAGTAGAAAGCAGAGAAATCAGAGAAGGAGGGAAAGTCCTGTTCCAGTTGGGAGCAATAGCGGTAGATGGCTGCTGCTAGCTGTGCGAGGTAAAATATATCCAGGGAACTGGTATATATTACTGATGCAGTCCTCTCGGTAATTGTCACAGTATGAAATATCTTAGTTACCGATTAAAGCGTAGATCGCCCTCACCAAAGGACAATCCATATGAGTGTAGCTTCTCCACAACGTCGAACACCCCATTTCCGGTCCACAGCCCCTCGTATAGATAGATGAATGCGGTTTGCAAGACATCCTCATGGCAGGTTACTGGCACGATGCCGCCTTCAACATTGGCCAGAAATTCTTCAGCGCTCATTGTAGCGATGATGGCACGTGCATCAATAAGGAAATGGATGGTAAAAGGGGAAGAGAATATTGAGGTTCATGTCTGGATCACCGATCCTATTTATCACCAATTAAATGTACAAACCATGCAAGAACACATACCACCTAAGAGACTTCTAGCTTTATACAGGCAAAAAACATCTCTATTAACTGCTTGTCATGCACCAGCAAGATCGTGCGCATGTCGATTGAAGCATCTAAGACTGACTTGACGGAGCATCTCCGGACACAGGTCGCGGAGTTCTCGCTAGTGCAGCCGATCGTAGCCAGAGTCTCTTACTTCTAGCAACTACACTAATTCTTGCAGCTACAGCGGAATCTCGAGGTTCATGACGCAGGCAAATTCCCAACTACCAGGCTCATACCATTAGTACCTAGCCAAAGAAATCAGTGTGGTAATTTTCGAGAGCAAGGGGCTTAGAGATTCATGATACAGCTAGCCATGGTATAATGTCATCATCCCCCGTATATTAGTTATGTACCGGGATCAGGGTTGCATCACAGTAGCACAGATTACGGGGCACCAATGATTGCTACGCCGAACAAGGTCTATACACATGAATAAGAACATTACTGTATGAATCTGGGTGATAGACTTGCGAAACTTCCCATCAATATGTACTCCGGAAGCATTATGGTGTATACGCCTTTGACTATGCCACAGTTGTGGATTCAAACGGCTTCGAGGTTTCCAGCTATTGTTTCCGGACGAATTAGTAAGCCTGGCACAGATGCAGCATGCATGTTGGATCATGAATATAAAAGTAGGTTGTTTGCATTGTAGATTCTACAATCGGCTAACATATGATTGCTTAGGGGCAGGATACTGCCATGCATGCATGTTCCAGGGCATAGATTTAGAAGTGGAAACTCCAGGCCTCCAATAAACTGAAGCAATGATCATATTTACAGCGCCCGCGAACTAGCTACGCATGCAATCCATGTCAACTGCTGGTTTCCACCTGGACCGGATCTTGTAAGACTCTACCGTCCTGTCTCTCCAATCCAACAACCTCCGCAGGTGACTCGTCGGAGCTTTTTTGAGAATGTAACACTTGCTTATAAACGGGCTGTTCTTCCTCCTTCAAACCACACCCGGACGGGTCTCTTCGGATAAGGAAGTGTTGGACCCTTGCATCTACCGACTGCATTTGATGCTGAGTATTCTCCCTGCGCCCTTTTAGAAGGCGGGATGACTCTTGGTTCAGCTCCCAAAGCCGGTCTTCGTAACCGCTGCTGAGCTTGCTAATCCAAGATGCCTGGAGCGCTCCGCCCATTAATGTCAGAAGTATAACGAATGTCGCAAAGGTCCGATGGTCCACCAGAGTTTGCTGTTTTCCCTGGTGACGATTGTTCCACCTTTCCCAGTCTTCCCACGTCGCGTTCGCGTATATCGGACCGTAGTTACTGGAGCCCGTTCTAGCCCATGATGGGATCGGCGTTTCATACGGATGGAGGTTCCACCCCGCGCCACTGAAATCGTAGGCTGCCCGTCTACTAGGGTCAGATAGAATTTCATGCGCAGCCACTAGGATGTGGTAGCGCTGGAGTCTCACTTCGGGTGTGAGGTCTCTGCATAGTGGATGTCCGCTACATGGGCGATCCGGATGGTAGATTTTGACCATTTCATAATAGCGGGTCTTGGAATATGGTGCGGTCCGGTCTTGTTTAAATAGCTCATATGGGGTGAAAGTGGGAGAAGACGGCCATGAGAGATCCGTCTCTGGGTTGTGAGAAGCGGTGGCATAGCGCCTGGCGGAATAGCGAGACTGTGAGGGGAAAGCACGAGACCGAGGTGGCGAGGACAGGCATGGGGTGTTCAGTAACTGCAGTCCCCCACCGCAGCAAAGGATGTTGGGTTTCTTGAGCATGGCCGCATGGTTTCACATGGAGAGATATGTAAGACCTCTCCGGAATGTTTTAGACCGATGGCAAAGTAGAAAGCACCGAGGTTTGAACGGGATGGTCTGGTCGTCGATACAAATAATCCCGCTAATTCCGAACTTCGGATCTCCACATGAGGTCATCACGTGCGGGTCTCCGAAGCTCCAAAGCTTCCCGCATGAAATCTACCTCTATCCCCATCGACACGCTGTATAGAAATCCGCTGTATAGAAGATGCCTGATTCACGCGACGATCACGGCCGGAGGCGGCATCGATCCCCCTCCGGCTCACCAGCTCCTGACCGCGATCAACGACAGCGGCGCCGTGACGACGACCGTGGCAGCGATTCGAGGCAGCATCGCGAATCTCATCGAAGCTCCCGAAGAGACAGCTCGCGACGGAGGTCATCCCGCAGCCCGGCCGACCGACGAAGCCACAGAAGAGATTATGACCGTCGGCGCGGTGAGCGCAGGGATAAGGAGGATGTTTCAGACGATGACCGGAGAAGACGCCGACATACTTCCGACCGAGAGTCTTCATACCGTCGTCACCGTGACCGAGACCATTACGACAGAAAGGAAAAGACTTCTCGCAGACGACGTGACTACTCGCGATCCCGCTCGCCCACAAGACGCTCGCCGGATCCGGACTCGCACGCCCCAGTACGATCAAGAGCACCCCTACCTCCGCAGCAGGATGCATATACCTCGTCTGAAGTAGCTCGGACTGGAGAGTCGGAAGGCCCTCCTCCCGAGAAGGAAAAACCCAATTTCGGTCAAACTGGGCGATTGGCTGCAGAGAGCAAGACTGTGAATGTCAATGGTAACTCTGTCGTTCTCAAGTATC